AATCTCACCATCCTAACAAAATCTACACTAACCAGCAATCAACCTAATATGATGCAAATCAATCTGAAGCTTCTCATGAAGAAGAGACACATCAACTGCTACATTCCCTTTCTCTTCCTTAGCCGCCAACTCCGTCACCGGAATCGCCGCAAGAAACCTCTTTATATACTCTCTACAACACTCTTTACCTTTACAAACCACCATCTCCGATGATTCTTCATCTTCTTCCTCCTTTTTCTCATACATGAAACTCGAATCATCAAACTTAAGAATGTACGCTTGCTTGCAACCTTCGAACAATCTCTCCCCTAACGAATCAATTACACAATACCCATTTACGTCTCCTTTCACAACAAAGAAATGATCGTTCCAGCTCACTATATAAACCCTAGATTCCCCACGATTCGAACCTATCGCTACTTCTTTCTCCACTTCGTCCCAGATCTGATCAAACGACATTAAACCTTCCAACGAACCGAATCTCTCCGGACTGAAAACCCCTGTGAACGATTTATCAGTGCAAACCCTAATCGGTCTTAGATTCGCGGAAACGATCGTCTCCAGATCGAAATGTTTATTCGGGAACAGTCTCAGATACGATTCTTCGTTGCAGAGAGATTTCCATAAGGAAGATCCTTGTGTGATCAGCGAATCGAATTCTGTGCCAGTAGGATTGATTAGTAGAGGATTCGCTTGGAACCAATGAGCAACCACCACCGCAACCGCCGCACAAGCTGCTTCTCCGCCGGCTTCTTCGCTTCTCTGATCAATCGACGCCGAGTAAACTTCCGATTTCAGCTTCCATTTTCCGTCTCGGCTCACCAAATCCTTCACCACCCATTTGTTCGCCTCGATCGATAAATCCGTCGCCGGCGGTTTTGAAACTTCCTCCTCTCTCTGAAACAATAATTCCGGTTAAGGCGAAAAATCGAACCGGGTTTTTGAAAATTTAGTGGAAAACCAAAATGCTTACCGGTGGTTCTCTTCTCCAGGTCATAGAGAAGCTTAACCGTCGTCTCTTCCACCAATTAAACCCGGCTTTATGATCCGGTTCAGATTGGCTATCCGGGGTTGAAGTCGACCCGGTTTCCACAAGGGGGCTACGTCCGCCTGAGCTCGAGGCGGCGGTGGCCGGCGAGGAAGAAAAATCAAAATCGCTGCCGCCGCCGCGACGGCTCGCCATTCTCGTCGGAATCGCTGAGTCAACTGATATCTGACCGAGTTGTGTAAAGTCGTCTGGTTCGTTTCTTACCTCGGAAAAAGTAACGTTGACCTGATTTAAATAAACAACCGCGTGGCTTAATTAATAATAAAGATTAGCGGTTAGTTTATTAATCTACCTTACCGTGTTATTTCCGAGATTAATATAATAATACTCTAATGAGAACAAAGAATC